GCAAATATACCAAGAGCTTGCAAAGAAACACAAATTGGTAGACATCCATGTACCATACTACAAGTATATTCCACAAACAGTATTGGAAAACAACGTGCACAAAATGTACTATGACAGAGCCATAATCACAGATAAAACAATTTACCGCAACAGACCAGACATCATACTCATTGACAAACACAATAAAATCACATATACTGTATTATAGACATATCATTCCAAACACTCACAATATACAAAACACATGCACTGAAAAAGTCAGTAAGTACACAGAACTTGCTCAGGAAATAAGGCATCTGTAGAGGATAGATACGGTGCTTATTGTACCTGTCGTTCTGTCCTGTACAGGTGTGATACCACACACACTACACAAAAGCCTGGGAACATTACAATTGAATAGAAATACATACATCACACTACAGAAGGCCACTATATTGAATACATGCCATATTGTTAGGAAATTCCTGAATACATACACACACACTGACACAGTTTTATAATTGTAGTTAATTGTAGTTGGCACCGGTAACAGTGTACTATGCCAGACTAAAGTCAAGGCATAGTACACTGTTACCGGTGTCAACTGAGTATAACTCACAAATCCCAACATAATAATAATAATCTTGGTAGATGGAATTCATGAAATTTATAATAAATAAATAATTCTTTTGAGTGCCTTTTCTTCTTTATTCTGTTGATTAAGGCAGTGTTTTTCAACCTTCTTGAATACGCGACCCCTTTACAAGTTAAAAAATTCTGGCAATCCCCCAGGGCCATATTTAAACTATATCAGTGATTTTAAAAACTACGTATTTAATTTTCTTTCTTTAAATATTGATCAAAAAACCAATTGTCCTGTAAAATAAACAGGCACAGCTTTCTCACTGAAATTCTAGTTTTTTTCTTTTTTTTTTGTAATGTAGGACCTACAAACACTTGTCTTTTTATTTCACCTGCGACCCCCCATGTAAGGCTTTGCGACCCCCTGGGGGTCATGACCCACAGGTTGAAAAACACTGGATTAAGGAAACCAACTTCATAAAAAAAATAAATGGAAATGTTTTTGACTCCTTTGAGTCAACATCAGCCAAAAATCTTTACAATCTTCTAGAACCTTGAATGAAACTGATAATTTAAATTCAGAAAGAACTAGAATGAGAGATTTAAATATTACCTTTACAAATAGCATGCAATAGAACCTTACTAGACTGCTAAATAATCTGTTTTTTTTTTTTTTTTTTTTTCTTCTTCTTTATGTGATATTTGTTCAGCCCTGATTTCCAGCCATCTCTGAGGTTTGTCATATAATTTGCATTTATCACCTTTAGCTATTTAGATATGCAATATGTATAGACTTGCTTCAACCTTCTTATCAGTGATCCCTCCCAATATTATTCAATTAGAAGGGCTTTGTTCTAAACAACACTTACATCATAAGCCTACTGCACAAGGGATCTGTTATTTACACATTAAGCTTAACTGACTGACTGAATATGTTTTTTAACCCTTTTTTCTATCAACCACATAGTGGATACTATATAGTAAAACTTTCATCTTTCATTTTTAATTCAGAGCATACAGTTTACAAGGTCTGATCAAAATGTATCAGTAGAGCATGTGCATTTGTCAACAGAGCATAGCTCCTTCTGCATGTGTTCCCAGTAGTGAAAAGGAAATTTTATTGTGCAGTTGCTGGAAATGGATTTTTTTGATGGAGGAAAAAGTATAGTTGAGTATTATTTCTGCTCATATGGAAGTGGTCATGAAGAGGAACCAAGTTTGAAAAAGTGGCAGAACAATTCCAAGAGAAATTTAAAAAGATATGTTACACAATATGTGTATTGTTACAAAATTTTGCCATTCTGGTAGTGGACTGTGTAAATGGAAGAAATCTGGTCAACTATTTCAGGGAAATATTTGAGAATCTGCTTGAACAATATGTTTAATGTTTATAATTTTATTTAATAAAATTAATGTAAAATTTTAATGAGATATAATAATAATATAATAATAAATAATCTTTATTTGTCGTAAAAGGCTTTCGCCTGTTACAAGGGCGCTTGAACAATATGAACACTATCTACAATGAGGCTAATAATGTGTATGTTAGTTTCTTTCGGGAGAAATAAACTCATAGATGACAACAATATTGTTCATCTTTTTATTTCAGTACTGTATAATTTCACACATACTGTATTTGCAAGCTGGAGAGGAGACTGTCATTATGTGACCTTGGACACTACTGCATATGTGTGAATTTTGGCAAGCCCATTTTACATTTTACCCTGCAGTCACTGTCAAACAGCTATAATATTTGCATGTATATGCTGTCATCATCACATTAGTGATTAAATGAAAATGGCAGAACATTACCTTGTTCATCAAGGATTTCTCCCACACCGGGTCATATACAACAAATATGTGTAGTCTTCAACGCCGGATATAGGATGAAGACTACACATATTTGTTCATTACCTTGTTGTCATCAGGATCCATCATGAACCTGATTTCATGAAAATTATTACCAGAGATAAGACCTGGGTGTACAGGTATGACCCTGAGACAAAAGGCAAATCATTCCAATGGAAAATGCCTCCATTGCCTCCATGGCCAAAGAAAGCATGCATGGCAATCAAGCAGCAATGTGAGCGTCATGTTGATTTTTTTCCAACTGCTAAAGCTTAGTTTATCATGAACATACCCCTCATGAACAAACTGACAAAGGAGTACTATCTGACTGTTTTTTGTCACTTATGAAATGCTGTTAGATGCCACTACTACTCTGGCAGTTTGGCAACTGGTTCATTCATGACGACAATGCTCTGGCCCACAGATTGTATTTCATCTTGACATTCCTTGCAAAACAGTGTCAGCAGCCTCCTTACTCCTCAGAAATGGCTTTCATCAACTTTTAATTCTTTCCCAAACTCAGGATGCCACTCAAAGGAAATTGATTTTAGGAGGCAGAAGAGATCAAGACTAATGCAACAAAGCACCAATAGAGATCCCAATAGATGAGTGAAAAATGCCTCCAATAGTGGAAGCATTGCTGGGAGAAGTTGTGAACTCAGAAGGGGACTAGTGTTTGAACCAAATAGATACATGGGCTTTTTTTCTGACCTAACTTGAGGTCTAATTTTATACTTTTTAATCAGTTCTCATATTCCTGATTTATATACCTTCCCTATCTTGTCCTGATCACAATGAATGATGATGATTGTAGGCAACCTTCTTATATGTAGAGTAAATATGCATTTTTTTGGCATAAGGTGTGGTTAACCCACCATATGTTTGCCTGTAACTGCTAGCACCCCTGCTATGTATGATTATCATCAAATTATTTTGACTTATGTTCATACCTCACTGGTTTGCTTTAATGATATTGTTTACTATACTCCCTAGAGAATCATGACTTCTAGCAACTATTTTTGATAAACTGGAATTCCAACTTTCATTTCATGGTCACCCAAGTCCAAAATGTAAAAATTTAGTGGGATTAGCTTTTGACTAATTATCATACTTTCTGTTATATAATAGCTGGAAAAGTTAAAACACTCGCTAAAAAATTACAAAACCCATTCAATTGTCTTGTTTTTCATTATCTATTCTCATACTAATGCATTAAAAAAAGTTATTTGGCTCTAGATGAAAAAGCGTTTACTTGATGATCTGATTTTAAAATTAGACATGGTTCTTTCTAATTGAGGCAGAGCATTAGCAAAGCCTTTTCTATATGGCTTAAAGAATTGTATTTGTTCTCAAAATTTATAGGCCAATTTTGATAAAATTTTGCCATTTTCTGTTAATGTGATGAAGGATCCAAAAAGGTAATGAGGGTCCATTTAAATGTAAAAAATAGGAATCCATGACTTTGTCACTTTAATATCTCTGTACAAAAATTAAACAAAACACAAGAAAAAAGCAATCAATAGCAATTGTTTTGTTCTTGGATCGCCTCTCTTTGTTGGCAAGTGCAAGGATCCTGTCTACCATGGCCAGCAGGTAGCTTCTTTTGTGGCAATAGGTGCAAAGTTCACTTGTCCATGTCTATCGGATACAAGGATCACCCCTTCTGGGCCTAACAAGTGCAGGGATCTCTTCTTTCTTTCCAGCCCACCTCAGTTCTGTTGTGATTCAACAAAATAGTGCAATGCCCCAGTATTTATTAAAGTTTCTTCTGAAGTTTGTATCTTTGATGATGGACTGAAAGTCTTGAAAGTACTTGGAACTTAGAGTAGACAATCATAAAATCAATAAAGCATAAAGCCTAATAGATTTTGAAGATTGCAGAATATATCTAACGGTTATTAAGAAATTGTATTGAATCATATTTTTAATGACATCCAAAATGAAGGCAATAAATGTATCAAGTAAATTAGATTTTTTCTGTTTATGAATGTGTAAAATTACTAAACAGTGATAACCAAGTTACTTGAATTTATATCTAATTTTCAGCATAAGTTTTTAAAATAATCTTAATTACAGTTTTAAAGTAATGAAATTTATTTTTATTTTCTAATTTCATCATTCCAAACAAAAGATTTAATGAATTAAATTTATATCAGATAAGATTCAAAAAAGTTAATAAAGTCATTGAAGAAGGTTAAAAATGCTTTTTTTATTACTTATATTAATATTTATGTAATGTTAATGATTGTTTATATAAGAAATGAAGAAGACTTATAAATATTTTGAAGTAGTATTTTTAATTTTGTTTGAATTTTATGTTCATCAACAAATTTGAAAAATATGTCAAGTCTTCATTTGATACATGACATTTCATTATTATTATTAAAATGAATATATTTTGGTAAGAATGATGTTAAATTAGTACAGAAAGTTTTCTTAAGGATACTTAGTGATATATTTTAATATGCAAAGTTTAAATTTGTTTTTAATATTGAATTAAGATTTATTATAAACAAAAATGTTATAACATAAAAGTTATTTTTATATTTTAAATTAACTTAATTTAACTATATTGTTATCTCATATTTTAGGAAACAAGCTAGATTGTTTTGGTGTTGCATATGCAGTTGTAGCTGCGTGCCAGGCTTTGGGATTTGGTGATGTTCATTTATCTTTATCCGAAGACCATGCTTGGGTGACATTTGGAAAGGAAGGTGATGAGACAGCTGAAGTTACTTGGCATGGTAAGTTATGAAAAAGAAATTAATTTTTAATTGTTTTAAATATGGTAATGAAAACACTTGGTTTTATTTATTCTTAAAATCAATAGTTAATACAATAACATGTACAACAACCTGATTCGATGATAATGCCAAAGAACTGCTGGATTATGAGTCAGGCTATAACAAGGCTAATTTAATGATTTGATTTAAAGCAGCCTGACTAATAACCTGGCAGTTTGTTTGGCATTATCAATATTTTATTGTATTTGATGTAAATTATGAATTATTCTCAGTGTTAGAGGGGTCCATGAACTATTGTATCTTGTATTGTATCAAACTGTTTAATTAAAGGGAAGAAGGTTTGCCAAAAGTACATTACTGTACACAGAGGGAGGGGGGGTCAAAAGTAGCTCAATAATTGTATATATAATTAATGGATGAATTTCAAAACTGGAACTTATCTTAACATTAATCAATATCACACTTTCCTTATGTTTTCCAGGAATATTGTACTGGAAACAAATGTTTTTGGTTTAGTGCAGTGTTCTGCAAGCTTTTTCTATTTGTGGCACACCCTTGACTCGACATGTCTCAACATGGCACACCAAAATGTTATTCCCCTCAAAAGCATATGATATGATACTATTAATAGAATTACGTAATGCGACTAACCTATTATTATTATTATGTTGGGTTTAGTGGTTTATACTCAGTTGACACCAGTGGCTGTGTACTATGCTGGACCAGAGTCAAGGCATAGCAACCAAAACAAAACTAAACTTAAATAAGTGTGTCAGTGTCTGTATTCAGGAATTTCCTAACAATGTGGCATGTATTCAATATAGTGGCCTTCTGTAGTGTGATGTATGTATTTCTATTCAATTGTAATGTTCCCAGGCTTTTGTGTAGTGTGATGTATGTACTTCTATTCAATTGTAATGTTCCCAGGCTTTTGTGTAGTGTGTGTGGTATCACACCTGTACAGGAGAGAATGACAGGTACAATAAGCACCCTATCCATCCTCCACAGATGCCTTATTTCCTGGACGAGTTCTGTGTACTTGCTAATTTTTTCAGAACATGTGTTTTGTACATTGTGAGTGTTTGGAATGGATATGTCTATAATGTATGTGATTTTATTGTGTTTGTCAATGAGTGTGATGTGTGGTCTGTTGTGGTAAATTGTTTTATCTATGATTATGGCTCTGTCATAGTACATTTTGTGCGTGTTGTTTTCCAATACTGTCTGTGAAATGTATTTGTAGTATGTTTTGTGGATTTCTAATAATTTCTGTTTCTTTGCAAGCTCTTGGTGTATTATATTTGCTACTTGATATGTAAATAATCTGTGTAAATAATCTGTGTGCGCCAAGAGCTTGCAACCAGAAGTAATGCATTGCATAGTTTCTGGCATAATGTGACATTTTCTGCATGTGTCATTTATGAGTGTTGTATCTTTGAGTATGTGTTTTCTATAGTTTTTAGTATTTATGATCTAATCCTATGGCAATCATGAATCCTTCTGTCTCCCCAAAGAGGCATCCCTGATCTAACCAGCTGTTTGATGCAGTTTTGTCAACAAAATCCTGGGCCAGGTCGTAAGGATGCCTGCCATGGAGTGCCTTTCGAGCCCACGATTGCTTAATGGTGTCTATGCTTTTTATATGTTGTGAGTGTAAATTCAATGGTGTGTTGTTTGAGTCTGCTAGAATTACTGCTTTATGTTTCTTGCTATTACTGTGATGTTTCTTGTTTCCTGTAGAAAAACTCTTGCAGTGACTGTATTTGTTTGTAGTGAAGGTTTATAATGTCAATCAGGCCACATCTGCCATCGTTAGGTGGAAGGGTTAATCTTTCTGTGGCGGATTTAGGATGATGATGTTTATGCTTAGTAAGCGTTGTTCTTGTTTTCCTTTGGAGTTGCTCAAGATCTATGTTGTAAAGTACTATATTATTTTTCCGACTTTTCCAACGATTATTGACACAACTGTGTGCTGGAAATAGCCGTTACCTAACGGGTACTTTATGCGGATTCGTGTTAATGTGCCAGGCCTGGACTTTAAGAGTACACTGAATTAAATAATGACAAAGTTATTCAAAAACAATCTAATATTTAATAAAAATTCTAATAATAACTATATACAAAATTTAGTAAAAATCCAATAACAATTTATTCAACGTAAATCAATAAACCTGACAAAACTCAAATCAATCTATTTTCTAACTTAACTATTCCCTTTTGGAATTTGACAAAAAAATTCAAAGACTTAACTTATGTACAATAATTCTTATGAATTAAAGGTCCTAATCATCACCTCAATATACTAGGAACCTTTTTCCTCAACTCTCAAGACTTCCTCTAATCTTTGATCCACAAATCGAATAACTTCAAAATCGCCTTGGAACTACTTTATCCTATCAGACACCTCTCTCTCTCGTTTGCTGATACGAAGCTCACCATGCTCGTTGCTAACAGAATCTCACCTCTATCATCTTCACTTGAGGCTTGGTCTTTATACTGTGAGGTGACGTCACAATTCTGAGTGAGATCACGGCCCTCATTTACATACTTATTGCTAACAATAAACTTTTCCTGTTTGCCTGGCAGCCTATTTTCCAACAATACTGTCTAACCTTTTACATTATTCTTTTTGACAATTTTCAGGATGTTTTATTCTTTAAGGTTTAGCAAGTTGTGCTTGTGGGGTCTCCCCCCTTTTCTCGGTGCAGACTTACTTTTTTCCGCTTGGGAGCGCAAGTGTGCGTGAGTTTTATCTACGGCGCTTTTCTCTTGTCGGTGAATTGGTTTCTCTTCTTCTATTTTTAAGTTTCTAAGGTGAGTGGTGAGGAAACCTTTGTCCTAACAAAACATAAGCCCCAAACAAAAATAGAATAAAAGCAAAAATAAAAATAACTAAAAAATAACGCTCAGACTTGGTTTCTTACAGTGTGAGTCCAATAACTCCAAACGAGTATGTGAGTACAGAAATGATATATGTGTTTATTGCTTTAACTGTATGTTTTGAATTTAACTGTGTTCTGAGGATAGCATTTAACCTACTTTGGTATTCTTTAATTAATCTTTGCTTTATTTGTGTATGTTCTGTTAGTTTGGCCTGTTGGAATCCTAAATACCAACAATACTTGTAGAATTCACCCTCTTCCATGGATTCAATAACATCTCCATTTCCAAGTGCAAAATCTTCTTTCTTCAGGATTCCTTTTTCTATGTGAAGTTTTTTGCATTTGTCTAAGCCAAACTCCATTTGTATGTCCTTAGGAGTTGATGAAGTTCTTTTTGTGTGGATGCATAAAGTTTTATGTCGTCCATGTACATGAGATGTGAGAGTGTAAACTGTGTTGTTTTTTTTGTGTCTGATATTGTAGCCGTATTGCGTGTTGTTTATCATGTTGGATAATGGATTCAAGGCTAGGCAGAACCAGAGAGAACTCAAGGAATCTCCTTGAAAAATTCCTCGCCTAATGAATATTTCGTTTGTTTGTATGGAAGTGTTACTAACCCTGAGATATAGTGTTGTTCTCCAGTGCTACATAGTGTTTTGGAAGAAAGCAATGAGTAATGGATGTATTTTGTACATGTGTAGACTATGTAGCAGCCAACTGTGTGGAACACTGTCAAATGCTTTTCTGTAGTCTATATATGCCATGTGTATGTTTCTGTGTTGTTTGTGTGCTTGCCGTAGAATGACTCAATCTATGAGTAACTATTCTTTGCATCCCCTGTGATTTCTACAGCAACCTTTTTGTTGTTCTGTAAGAATGTCGTGTTCTTCAACATGTTTGTATATTTTGTTTGTGATACAGGATGTCAATAATTTGTAGAGTGTTGGAAGACATGTAATTGGTCTGTATTGTGTGGGGTCTGTGGTTTTGTTGTTTTTAGGTTTCATGTAGGTAATGCCCCGAGTAAGAAATTTTGGCATGTCTTGTGGATTGATGATGATGTGTGTTAGATGTTTAGCTAGTTCCTGGTGCAGTGATGTAAACTTTTTGTACCAGCAATTGTGAATGTTGTCTACACCAGGTGTCTTCCAGTTGTATGTTCTGTTAACAGCGTAGCGAATGTCGTGTATGTTTATTTCAGCACAGGGCATACTTGGTATGTTATGCAAGTTTCTGTTCTCCTCCTTGATCCAGCCTACATCAGCATTGTGTGTAACAGCATTGGACCAAAGAGATGACCAATAAGTTGTGAGTTCTTCTTCTGTTGGTGTGCCACTGTGCTGTATATCAGTGTTTGTTTTAGTAGTGATTTGTCTGTAGAAAAGTTTTTCATTGTTTGTGAATAATTTATTTTGTTGTTTTCATAGTGTACATGTTTTGTATCGTTTGAGTCTACGTGCTTTGGCTGCGAGTTTTTGTTTTAGTGTATCGATGTATTCTGTAATGTGTGTGTTGTGATGTTCATGTTTTGTGTGTGTTTTGATTTTCTTGAAAATGTTTTTGAGTTGTTTCTTTAATTTGGGTGTTATGTTGTTTTTAGTGTATTGTGTCAGCCTGCCTAATTGCTGTCTAATGTCATTTATTTGTGTTTCTATTCGTCTCTGCCAGGCAGGCTTGTGATAGAATTGTGTTTTGTGTGTGTGTGTCTGTGATTGTATTTTCAGTCCATGGTGTGTCACTACTGTGACTGCCCCAGCATAAACTAATGTATGAATGTCTGAGAGTGTAGAAATTAAATGTGTGAGCTCGCGGATTTTTACGGGCTTTTTAAAATTCTAAATTTTCTGTTAATTGTCTTCGGAAAAAACCCAAAGAATTTGAACTAGATTGGATTTCACCGTTTGTATAACGACTAGCTGAGGAAGTTTACAGTTAGGTGTGTAGAATGCACCGTCATCGTCAACAAAAGTCAATCACGTGACAGTTTTCCCACGCTAATGATATAAAAGCTCGAATCTCCGGAAGCTCAGGGCAATTCGTCATAGGAAGTTATACTTTGTGATAGTGCTTACCTCAACTCCTGGACCTCCATACAGCGGACTTGATCCAGTTACAGAGAGAGGACATCTGCAAGAAGACACGGAAGACACATACCCTTCCATACAGACGACATTGGCCAAACTCTCCCTTCCACTGAGAGGTGTTTAGGGGTTAGAATTTGTAAAAGTGCGCTCTCTTGAACTAGAAATTAGGTCAGCGACATAGCTAAGAAATTCATCGCCATTTCTGTAAATATTTTAATATAACCGCATTTAACCTTAGTAGTAAGTTTACCTCTTGTAGAGTTTAAATTTGTTGATTCAATAAATGCTTTGTTATTTTGTTAACCTGTCTCCTGTCAATTAAGGACGCCTGCCGACTTACCGACGCACTCCCCACTCGATTTGCCCTCCTAGCCATCCAATGACCCTGAGATGGGGTTTTATCAACCTGTTGCCAATTAAGTGGTCACTAGGAGATTAACCCCTGACCCATGGCTTATCTCACAAATGGATGTAGTGTGGTAGTAAGTGAGTGTTTACATAATTTAGTGTTTTCCCTACTATCTTTGACGTGTTAATTTTCGGTATTCATAGTCATTGTGTGGGATCTGTACCTGTATATTTTGTGAGTGTTTCCTGCAATATGAGTGAGAGTGTATTAACTAATTCTATGTCTACATTATCAGTGATGGATGAGGAAGTACCTGTAGTATCATTAGTGGTAGTTGTTGTATGTGTGCTATTATCAATGCTTGTTGCTGGATTATCCTGACAAGTTACGTGATCTTCATTAATGTTAAATGTTTCTGTCTATTGATGTATTTGATCAGCAACCTGTTATTTGATAAGTTCAAGTGTTGTTTGTGGGATAAGGTTGTTGTGTATAATTGTTCTTTTTTGATCGACAACCCTTTGTTCGGTGACAGTGAGGTGAGGATATTGTTGTGTGATTCTATGGTGTAGTTGTTGTCTGTATGCTGTCATGCTTGTTTCGAGTCTTGTGATGGTGTAGTAAGTACGGATGATAAACTCGTTCATTTCTGATGTCCATTTCATCCGTTGGCATGGTTTTCCAGCCTTTGTGGTCTGTGGATGCATTGCCACAGAAACACCAAGGCTAGGTTGANATAATAACTCTGCCATGGTGACCATGGGACAATTATTATTATTATTAAACAGACATTAACACCAATGAGCAAATTTATTTTACATTTAATTTATTAAAATACATAAAAATGCATTGCTTGTAATAAAGAATAAACGAACTTTATCTTATTTCATAAATGCTGCGGCACTTATGAGATACAATCGTAAGAAGCACAGCAACTGTGATAAAAATATAGAAATAAAGCTTGAAATTAATAGAATATGTAAAAGTTCACGTCACACCTGTAGTGCTACGCTACTATGTGTTATGTATTGTTTTTCTATAAGTGTCTGTTATTCTAGCATGTAAGTAGTTCCGTTAATTTTGTATTGGGTCCGAATTTTTGTATATTACTTTGTGTTGCTTTCCTTTCATTTTCTGGTATCACTTTTTTCTCTGCTGCACCGAGCTGAACGTGCTGATTGGTTCAAGGAGTGATTACGTACTAAAACAACATTCCTGGATAGCGGGAAGTATAAATTTGGATACTTCACGTGTTCTGGATCTTTTTTCCCTGGCTCCCAAGTCTACAACTGGACATTAGAGAGAGAGAGGAGTGTGAAGGACTTTGGAGATAGCAGTGGAACAAAGGAAATACATTTTGGATAAGTAATCCAAATCCATCTTGAAGAAGAGAAAATATACAAATATAGAATGTGTTGATTATTTTCAGAAATTGCTTAAGGACTTTAGTAAGAATATTATTTTATAGTTATAGACTTCATAGCAATGTGGAATATCAAGTTTTGGTCCATGTACTGCTGTACATTAAATAGGGCACTAGTGTATGAAATTAACTAAGAAGAAACGTGAGAGCATGTTTATGTTTCATCTTGTTTGTAATTGTATGTAATTGTAAATGTAATTGTAAATGTTGAGAAATGTTGTAATGTAATTGTAAATGAATTCGTCCTATTATTCAGATCAGAATCTTTCTCTTTGTTATGGAATTGTATTGATTGTTTACGATAGGGCCTATATATGTATATACAGTCGACCCCCCCCTATAACACGGGTTCCTATAGTTTGGATTTCTATATCACGGCAAAAAAATTGCGACAGTATTCATACAAACATGCTAAAAAAAACTCCTATAATTCGATAAAACGTCATCACCAACTCGTGTCACGACAGGATTGCACAAACCGTTGAGTTTAAACAAGCAGCGGACCTACTAAAAACTATTTATTATTTAACATGCATAAAAATTATATTTATATTAATGATGTCTCTAAAGTTCAGTGAATTTTTCGAAAAAAAAAAAAAATGATCAGGAAGCACACAAGTGCCATTCAATGACAATCTCCACAACGAAAGCAAGCTTAAGCAACGGCGTAGTCGAACCTTCATACAGACTCAGCATATCCTGGTATGCCTGAGATACTACACACCTTACACCTTGTGATGGCACACCAGTGTGCTGCGGCACACCGGTTGCAGAACACTGGTCTAGTGTATGAGTCTGCTTTAGATTCTACACTTTTGGATTGGACAGTTTACTGAGTGTTCCACAATTGGAATGTTTCAACATTTAAACTGACATTTTTTTTAAATGACATTTTTAAAATTTAATAATATAATACATTGAATTAAATATAAATAATTAGATATGTGAATATATAAAGTTATAAAAACAATATGTAAACAAAAATGTAATATGTTTTATTTTAGTTTAAATATCGTTTACTGAGTTTACAGAGTGTTTCACAATTCCAATTGTGGAACACTCAGTAAACTTCAATTTAAAAGTGTATAACCTGAAGCAGACCCACACATTAGGCAAAAACTGTTTATTTCTAATACAAAGTATTGATGGAAGGCATAAGGATGGTATGATACAGATGAATAAACTGTTTCATCAGAAAATATTAAAAAGCAAAAGGTATGGTTCTTTTTATATTAAAACTATAATATTACATGTGTGTATAATTTTATATTTTAAATAATTAAAAGAAATTAAAAATACATATACTATGATTACTATCATGATTAACTTTTTTAGGAAAGGGCAATGAAGATAAAAGAGGACAACCTGTTACAAGTGGATGTACTGAAAAATCTTGGTTGTACTTAAATGGCTACCCTGTTAAATGCACACGTCATACAGAGGTAGCAGCATTAGTTTCTGGCATAAATCCCTCCATAAATGCAACAACAGATAGTATGGAATTGGCAACATTGCAACAGGTAAATATTTTAATATTTTACAATTGAGAAAATTTAATTTTACTTTAATATTAAAATTAAACTTTGTAAAGGCCTTTTGTAAATTTAAATTGGAAATGTAAATACAAAACTGAATAAAATAATATAATGTAATAAACTAATTACAAAATTAATTGGTATTTCATAAATTTAATAAAATTTTAATAGCTCAGGCATTATTTTCATGGATTTTTAACAAAAGAATTACATATATACAGATTATCCAAAAAAGGCCCCTCATGTTTTGATCATTTCTGACCAAAACAAATCTAAAATGAATATATATATACACACATTGTATTCTGTAATGATTAAAGTGACCAGAATTGTGAAATTTTAAGCACACATTATTTAGTGATACATATAAAAAAGCAAAATACAGTGGGTGATCGGTTAACGAACATAATTTGTTCCAAGACTTTGTTCGTTAACCGATTATCGATTTACCATAGGTTTTTATGGAAATTTGATTAATTCGTTCCGGAGACTCCAAAAAGTAAAAAATATATACTTTTTTACTATGTTTATTTACCTGTAATAGTAAAAATACATATATAAGTAGTCTTGCATTTTTATTAGTCATGTTTTTCCGCTTGTGGGGGTTAAAGAATCTGTCCAATGTCGATTGTTTTTCTCTTTTCATCAAGAGTTTTCAGAAGTAATTAATAGTATTGTAATTGTAGAGATTGACAACTCCATTAACCTTATTCTGGTTTGGATGCGACTTGGATGATCGTTGTTCTGACATTCTCCCACTTCTTCAAAAGATCTTTAGTAATAGATGTCGACATTGGTCCTCTTTCATCTTCCTCTTTTTCAAAAGAAAACACATCTCGCTGAGTTTCTTGGTATTCTTCATTTGAGAGTTCTTGGAGTTCTTCTGTCGTCAGATCAGTTTCAGGTTCCATTATGAGCTCTAAAATGCTCTTTATTTCTCAGATGTCATTTTCATGACTCCATTAGCAGCTTGAGACTTCTTGATATATCTTTCATAACTAAGATTGTGCCTACTATAGACCTGTTCGAGCCATTCTGCCTAGCAATATTAGACATCTTGTGCCCACTTTCTATCTTGGCTATTATCTCTTGCTTGGTTTCTATGGTGAGCACAGTTCTTGACACTCCTCATTTTAGGCTCCATAATATTATCAGTTTCTTTTTTAAATAAAAAGTTCAGAAAAGCACTTACAAAAATTCAGAGAACAGAAATCAACTAGTGCACAAAAAATTATTTAAATGTAAAACCCGGATAAAATTCGATATTTGGTATTAAAATGTTAACGGATATCCGATGAGACAATTAAACTTTCACCTTTCATAAATAAACCCCGACGCAAAAGTTAACAAGTGAACGTCCGACAGTCTCGCGAATACTATAAAAAAAATTATTTGTCAGCTTGGACTTACAAGGGAGAGTTTCAAAATTCGGAGGAATATCCGATCGGTATCGGGTTGACGTCGATGTTGACGTTTCCCACGCTTAGAAAGGTTTCGAATTGTTACCCGAAGACATGGGAAAATCAATCTGTTTTCGTTATTTTCCGTCGCTTTTTTATATGTTTGTTCAGTAAAGTGTTCGTTAACCGAACATGTGTTCGTTGTCTGATCATAAAAATCTTTCTCGAAAGTGTTCGTTATCCGATTTGTTTGCTATCCGAATTGTTCGTTAACTGATCACCCACTGTATGCATTTTGTGTTAAATTTGCTTACATTTTTCAGTAATTGAAAAATGAGTAATATAACATAAAACTAGTAATTAAATAAAACTCATTTTTATTTACTTCCTTTCTATTTATAGACATAACTTGACTAAAGTTTGTTGATTTTTTTATTTTATTTTTCTAAAATATAGTTTTGCATTAAAAACTTAACAATCCTGATTACTTTCCTCCGACAAGGGTTATTCTTGATTCACCTCATTGGCAATACCAGAGATGTTGGAATTCAATTGTAAATGTATTTCCAGGTTTTATTCATTCAAAAAATCTGAAAATATAGGAAACTTGTCTTAACTTGTATTCTACTAGGAGATAATTACAATACTGCAATTGTAAGTTTACTTAACTGAGGCATATTTCTAAACTTTCAAAACCAGAAGCAAATAGCATTTCTTCTGTTTGTAGGTTAACTCTCTGATCTTTATACAAGATAGCTTTTTAGTAACTGTGCAAAACAGTTCAATTTTTTCAAATGGTTCTGTAAATTTTATATGACTTCCACATTTGTCATTTGTGGATACATTACAGTTATATGCACATTACAAATTAAATGAATTCTGAATTTTGGTACAGATCCTAGAAACTATTTAATATACTTTCCAGAGCTGCACCGATGTAGCCAATGAACATGGTTAAATTTTTCATTAAGATGTACTCACTCTGGAGAAGTGGTATGAAGGAAAACAAATGCTTTCATGTTAGCTGATTATTGTTGGAATATTATTAGAGACAAAAAGACAGTCGATAAAAGAAGAAATGTTGTCTATATGCAAAATTTTATTAAATTTTTGGAAAATGAGTTTTATATAATAATGTTTCTGTGAATATTATATCACATATTTATAAATGATTATTATTATATACTAGGAATAAAGTAAGACTGATTAAATTATTTCATCAATACACTCAATATAAATCTTAAAATATTAAGAATATTAGAAAAAAATTAAAATTCCAATTACTCATAAAGTATTCCTGGCTAAGAAAATCTAAATGTAGATTAGAAATTAGCACTAAAAAATTGCAATAGGTATCATAATTTATTTTTTCTCCAGAAAAAAGAAAGCAGTTTATTTTGTATAACAGTGTTGTTATTTACATTCATTCCAAAAAACCTTATTACTATTAACCAGTAGTTTAGTATCAGTGTAAATTTCATCTATTAATAACATTGTTACTTTTTGTTGTTCTATCAAATTTTTAAATTGCTCTTTAATGTAATGAATTTTGTTTTGATCTCTTCAAATATTATAATCAATTTTTGGATTAATTTACTTAATTTTCTTAGATGTGGCAATTTTAAAAGTTTTTTTACTATAAAAAGCCTTATAACAATTTGGACTTGTCAAAAACATTTTAATTAAAAGACAAATAAAACAATCACAAGAAAATCTTAAACTAGGTTTTGGAACTCCAATTAATTTCAGTTTTTCTAAGAAAAAATCAATTTATTTTTCTTAACATTATTGACTAAAGTTTCTTAAAATTTTTCTAGATACTTAATTCTTTATTTCAAGTAATCTTATGATTAACTTTCAGATGTAATTTACAATAATTTATTAATATTTTAATTTGATATGTTTTAGAAATAAAATTGAAATAATATTTACTGTTTCTACCTGTTTGTGTGGAATTTCTTTATTGTTTATGTATATGGTTTATAATAAATCATTATAAATTTTTATACATGCTGCAAATTTTGGAGTTTCATGATTTTCTGAAGCAACAGTACTACATATCATTAGTCTTTCATATTTTCCATTTTTCATCTGAATGACTTTTTGATATGAATTCTAAAGTTTCTTCAATTGTATTGATAAAAGCTTCAATATCTTTAAGATATGTTTCCAAGCTGTTGGTAACTGTTTTTTAAAATGTTCTTCTTAATCTATCTTCTGTACTCTTTTTTTCTTAGGAAGAATTTAATTTAAATGAGGAGCAATATCTGATATAATTGTAGGATGCATCTTTAGTTAATGCTACTCTATAATATTTAATTCTAACAGTTTCATTATTTTTATCAATGAAAACATCACTATCTATAATAAAGCATTCATAAAATGTTTTATACATACAGTTATTGGAATTTTTTTATTGCTTTGAAATTTTTGATATATTTTTCAATATAGCAATAATGGTAACCAATATCATTTGAATGGGAACCCAATACAAAACAAACACATTGTGTAGGTAGGTTTAACTTCAAATATGCCTAAAAGCAAGCCAATTGAAAATTTAAACTTGTTTTATAGTTCTACTTATGTTAAATAAATCTATAATAAATAAGTATACATTTTTATATTTTTTGATAATACTATAAAAGGACTCAACTCATTCTAAACTTATGACAGATTCAATCTTCATCTTCTACATCGACATCAGATGTAAAAATGATGTCTGATGCGTGGCATATATGTAGATGGCTGTGGCTAAAGTCATAGAAAACAAAACTTTATTTAATTATACATACATCTATTTTTAATTTTTAAAATTTGAATACTATTTTTGTCTATAAAACAAACTTTTTGATCAATCCATTACATTTTATATTTAGGGTTTGTTAATCTTGATCAGATTTATTTTAAATTGATATAATGAAGCTTCAGAGATTTAATTATTGTTTTGATTAAATTGTATTATAGAGAAAATTGCAATTAATTTGATTGTAGTCTACATTTACATAAAAATTCAATATTGACATGTATAAAAATATTGATTATTATTTCGTTTTACAGAAACTTTTATGGGTTTTATATGATCTTGGACATCTAAAAAATTATCCTATGGCACTTGGAAATCTTGGTGATTTAGAAGAAATTTCTCTTACTCCTGGTAGACCTCCTCCAATAGAATTATTCCGAGAAGCAATCTTGGCAGCCCAAAGTTACTACAATAATCAACATGTGTATCCATATACATACTTAGGAGGCTACTTATATAGAAATGGTCGTTACAAAGAAGCTTTAGAAGCTTGGGCAAATGCTGCCGATGTGATACGAAAGTAGGCAAATATATTTATTTAATTAATTTTTAATAGCCTGATTATTATAAATTGATTTTTAGATGTATATTCACTTTTAAAAATCAGTAAGATTGCAAATATAAAATCCATCTTATAAACCAAACATTGACAAATAAATATATATATCACACTAACCTTATGAAGCTTTGCAAATATTTTTAATGTACCAAAATATTTGTAAAGCTTCATAAGGTTAGTGTGATATACAGATTGCATATATATAAAGTATACAATCTTATTGATACTTTTTAAATGAATTTTTTTATATAGTGAAATAGGTTTGTTATGAAGAAATGCAATCTTTTTTCAAGTTTCTTTGGAACAAAATTCAATGAACAAATTTAAATATAAAAATATTTTTAAAAAACCTTTGAGTGTAATCAGTTCTAATTTATTTGACAAAAAATATTATTAATAACCTTAAAGGTATTAAAAAAAGATGATGATATATTTTTAATAATCTTTTGTCTAATCCAAAAAAGAATAGGAATTGTATATTTTTACAATTTGCAATATTTGTATTGATTTATGATGATAAGGTTAATTCCATTATAAAGAAGTTTGAAAAAACTTACTGTGTATTATTTATCTTTCTTTTCTCTGTAAACTTTCAGATGAGTTTGAGAATTTTGAAGCGGCACATCTAACATCCAAAGGTTTCACTTGATGACTTTATTTGCTTAATTGACTTTTAAATATTCATTTCAGAATGATGTATTATTTAGTTTTACAATAGTGTTTTGTGTGATTTTTTTCAGTGATAAAAAAATTAATGAAAATTCTAATTAGTAAAAAATAATTTCTCAGCTGTTAATTTTGATAGTTTTTCTGTTTTAAAACATTGTCTTGAACTGGCCTTCATAAACATATATATTCTTCAATTTATTTAAGGAAATTTTATATACTCTCATTGTCTAATGCAAAGGTGCTCAATCTTTTTAAGTGGGATCTATATTAACTGTTATATCAGATGAGGAACAGCAAAACTGACGTCAGAATAAATGGCCTTCAATTAGGCTTTTAGCTTCAATAAAAATTGAAACATAGCAAAACTTAAGCTATTGCTTATATTGCAATTTAAATAACCATTTACAATATTAAATGTTAATCAAAAGCAAGGCTGAATTAAAACTTGCCATATTATTTTGCATTTCATATCATTTTATCAACAAATTATATTTTTGAACAGTTATAGTTTTTTTGACAAATAAAGCATAAAGCACTTCCATTGTGCTTAATAATGAAGAATTTTTCTGTTTAAGGAGGGTATAGCAAAAAATTTTTCTGTTTAGGGAGAGTAAAGCAACTTTTTGCTTTCTGTTCACACTGGATATAGCCATTTTGGATTATTACTTCTACCCATGTTGTTTTTAGAGAAAAATATGTAACAAATTTTAAATTAATAAATAAAAAATGTTAAGCTTACAAGAACATTTATCACAGGTGTCTACAGCATTATTCTGACTACTGCTGATAAAAATATTAATCATTTAGATACCAAAACACAAACAATTGTTTTTAAATGTAAATACAGTAGAGCATCGATTATCCGAAACAATTTGGGACTAGGGTTGTTCGGATAACTGATCATGTACGAAAAAATATATTAACCTATCCCATGTTGAAATTTTTCTCCATTGTGTATTGCTTCACGTTGAATTTTCATCGATGTTAAGCCTAACATAAATTTTTTTTTAAAATGATAATTGTGGCTATTGTATCATTAAAAATTATTTCTTTATTTTGCACAAATGAAATAAATACAGTGGAACCTCGGTATACGACCTTAATCTGTTCCTGGTGTTTGGACTTATACCGAATAGGACGTATACCAAACCAACCTTTCCCATAAGAAGTAATGTAAAAATGATTAATCCGTTCTCATGTAAAAAAAATGGCTGGCTTTATATACCTTGATTTCCTGGCTAGTTCCTGCTTGATTTTTCATGAGATCAGCATGTATCTTTTTAGCTTTCACACAAATAATTGCTTCTGATACGCTGTCGCCAGAACACTGTTTTTCAGTTATCCAAAGCAAAAGCAATTACTCAACATGATCTAATGTCTTCAATCTCTGTTTAGAAATTGATTTAACCCCTTTCGCAACATAATGTCTTTATTTTTCACGATTGTCGATATCGTCGTTCTCGGAATACGGTATGCAACAGTTAAATCTCGAACACGCATGCCACCTTCATATTTCTCAACAATCTCTTTTTTCAGTTCCATTGTGATTCTAGTCATTTTTTATTTTTCTGATGCCTTTTTGCAATTCATGATTAATAAAAATAATAAAATTTTACTTACAAATTAAAATCAGAAGAAATTTAACAAAGTAATAAACCGTGGCACCGCAAACGTCTAGTCTGGTCTAATACACCGATAGTGCAACTTGTTCATAGATGGCGCGTATAATTGAATTAAGTCATCTACTGAACAAAAGTCATATACCGAGCAAAATTTGTTTCGTCCAAACAGGACGTATTCCAAATTGGACGTATTCTAAAGCTGATGTATACCGAGGTACCACTGTGTATTGAATAATATAAAAAGAAAATAAATTATATTTTAGAAGTTAATCTAGTTTCAAAAAAGTTCCAATTCAGCACGACACACAGTCCTCAGAAAAACACCACACAAAACAAGTAGATAGTAGATGGCAGCAAAACTTACCACTCACGATGGGAAAAAAGCCTCGTTCAAATATTGGCGCATCCTTAAGTACTCTCTCATGGCTGCCTGCTAAAGCACGCACACCAACAAAAGTAATATTGGAGTAGCCCAAGACAGCCAAATATTGCAGCACCACAGCAGAAATTTGAATTTGCCGACTGGAATGCTTTCGGTTAACAGATGTTTCAGTTAATTGATATTTGGATAATCAATGATCTACTGTACACGTTTAATTTATCATCATATAGTACTGAATCTTGATAAAACAATAAAAATCATAATAAGTAACTAAATCCTGATGCATCTGTTTTACATCAACAATAATAAAGTCAAAATTAAATTAATTTCAAATATCTAGAACTTATATTTGATGATAAATTAAACTGAAAAAGCCAATTGATAATCTCCACATAAATTTTTAGATTTATTAGAGTTACAGTCGACCCCCCTATAACACTGTTGATTTTTCCGTTTTATATGAATTTCATGTTGTATGAGTCACTTATATTTTACAAATACCTGTGCCAGGCTATGAATGGCTCATGTATTCGTAAAATCTAAGTGACTCGTACAACATGGAATTCATATAAAACAGAAAACTCAACAGTGTTATAGGGGGTCGACTGTATTAAATAATTAAGACATGTTTTAAACAGAGATACTCATAAGGTTAAAAAAGTAACAATGGAATTGGCTGTAGTCTATTTTGTATTTTTAAGAGATTATTTATATATAACTCTTTTTAAATCAAAATTGATTTATGGTATTGAATCTCTCTGCTACAGCATTGATCTCTGGAAAACATCTGAAACAAAACAAAACTGTTTTAAGGATGTCTGGTTAAACTTATATTTTGATGTATCTGCAATACAGTGTATAAAACACACATAGTATTATCTATGCATTCATTAAAGGTTCTATTGGTTATTATTTTTTTCAAATAGTGTGATCAATGAATGAAGATGGCATATTTTGAGAAGCAATATATTCCCCAAATATTAAAGTAAAATAAAAATGAGCATATGTACTGCCAAAATTACACTTCTATAGGACAAAAATGTACAAACTTTATAAAATGAATTTTAAGAAAAAGTTAAAGAACATATAAGAGTTGTTCAAGTGAAACATACTGTGTGCTGTGTTGCTCAAATATTTGATGTGGATAGTAGATGGCAGCAATGCATATGCTAAGACCAGGAAAAATAGTATGTTAAATGCTTAGCAGACACAATGCTTTGCTGCACAAAGGAGATCACTTTTCCAACAGAAGTGTATCATGAATATATCCAAACATGTCCAATGAGCTTTGATTCAGTTCTTGTTTAACACTTTCTAGTCTAATATCATATAATCCACTTTCGACCTTGTACTCTCCCTGAGGTCCATGAACATATGCCTTACGTTCCTTTATATACCCTTTTTTAAACATGTTTTCTCATAATTTCTGTGTTCATAGAATTTTGGATAAATATTATAATGCCTAGTTTCTTATGCTGATAGAAAATAAATAAAAAATTATAAGATTTTAATATTTTTAAAAAATAATAACTAATATTAATTAAAATATTTACATAAATATCTAGTTTATATTAATAATTGTCATTTAATTTAATAAATTAATTAAAAGTTATATTAAATATACCGTAGGATAAAACAATTTATGTTAATGTAATAATAAATGTAAGAAAAGTGGCAACACGATTGATATTCAGACAAACAAAGAATTAAAAATGTTAAATTAAAATTAAGAAAATGTATGATAGTTTTCATGCACTAGTACTTGCATTTGACAAAAAGTAAATACTTTATTATCTGATTATATAAAAATTACATTTAAAAACATAATAAATTATGTATGTGGTTTAATGTATTTTCTATGGAATGCTAAGCCTAACTACTCTGATGAAGTGGAATGGTGTTCTAAAAAAATCAAAAACTAAATCTCTATTGGACATATCATCATAAATTTTTGTCAGGTGCTAGAAAACATTTGATAGAAATAAAAATAACATCATTCAATCAAATTCAATTGCAAACTTTTCAAATGATGCAATTATATAAAACCAAAACTTTTCTTATTTTTATTTGTTTACATTAAATTTAAACTATCTAAAATCCAAACTATATCAATGAATACTTACATAATATATATCCGATTAAACAGAAAAAAAAACAATCTTTAACTCAATTTAATTATGAAAACCAAGAAATTATTCATTTTCAAACAGCACAATTGTATAAATACAGTAAAAACTCAGCACACAGAAGCAGAGTGTGACAAAAAGGTCAGACCTGAAAGTGTTAAGGAAGGCATGCAATCAGTGGAAATTCTTTGTGCATGCAAAGAGTTTACAGAAACACCTGTTTGAACATCCTGCAATGTTTTCGTCTGGGAGGTTCTTGCCCATCTTCCATACAGTCTGGACCTCTTCCTTTGTAACTTTTTTGTCTTTGGGTTGCTGAAAAAGGCCTTAAAGGAACACTCTTTCACTTCTCATTAAGAAGTCTGTGCAGTGGTGGAGAAATGGTTCTGCTCCAGCCTGCCAGCTTCTTTGTGGAAGGTATACAAAATCTTGTTGACCATTGGGACTACTGCCTGAATACCACAGCTTGAAGTCTTTTGTGAGTATATTACTATTGCCAAACTACTCATATTCTGTCAGCTGTACTGCAGTCTATGTTTCATTTTAATGAGCCTTAGACCTGATTTACAGTATTGCCTTTGCATCTGCCATCCATTTTATGATTGCACAGTGTAGTTTAATTTAGTTTTTTACTTTTTGCTTTAGTTTTTTTATTATTACATTTTTGTAGTTTTGTGTTTTCTTAAAGTTTTGAAAATAATGAAGAGAGAATTTCACTATTGTCTATTCCATTGATATAATAATGTTTGATTTATAATTAATTTAATAATTGTATCAATATACTTAGATATTATTATAAAAAAATTAAAACTGTCAATTAAATAGTCATTATATCTAATTAAAAACAAATTTCATTTAATAACTGATAATTGTAATAGCTTATCATTTTTTATGACTATGGCTTTTATTTTAAATTTCCTAATAGTTTATTACTTATTCTTTTCAATGTTAATATTGAAAGTTTATATTTTGCAGATATAACTATGGGCGTGAAGATGAAGAGATTTATAAAGAATTTCTTGAAATTGCAAATGAACTCATTCCACATATTATCAAAGTTGTTAGTACTGGTGGCTGTGAACCTTCTGGTAGATCAACAATACCTTTATTACAAGATCCTCAATGTTTTGCTTATCTTTTGCGTTTTTATGATGGATTGTGTGAATGGGAAGAAGGATCATCTACACCTGTTTTGCACATTGGATGGGCTCGACCTTTAGTTGCAACAATTTCAAAGTTTCCTGCATCCATTCGAGCTCGAGTGGATATACATATTTCAGAAGAGGAAGAAGAAGACAAATTAATTGATGAAAATGAAAAAAAAACAGAGAAAGATGACACAAAAAACAATGATGAAGACAATGTAAAAAATAAAGGAAAACAAAAAGAAAACAAATTAAATGAAAAAGATGGTAATATTGCAATGAATGGATCTTCTGAAAAGAATTCAAATAAATCTCAACAAAAAATTACATCAAAGAAACACATCATTGCTGAATCAGAAAAATCAAATGATAAACCTGCTTCAGGTCAAGAATCAGAATTTTTGAGATCTTTAGTGACGCACATTGATCCAAATGAAGCTCCTCATCCTAATATAATGGCTCTTGCTGCAGCTTGTGGAGATAATATTTTAAATCCTGAATACCTTTTAGGTTCAGGAGAACCCTTTTCTTCTCGGTCATCAAGCTCCTCATCGTCATCAGCTGATTGTCGAGATCTTCTAAGCACACAATCTAATGGAACACCATTTCCTGGTTTGACAGTAGATTCTATGCTAAAAGCAGACAGTCCAGCCGATCTTTTACAGGTTAGTGAATCAATTCATTATCTTATGTATATGTTACAGTCAAAACCCATTTTTAGTTAGAACGCGTTTTAACTAGTTGAAACTAGTTTATACTGAATGTCTTTGTTAAAACCCGTTTTGTCTAGTTAAAACTAGTTTTAACTCAAATTCATTTTTGACTAGCAGTAAATTCTAGTTTTAACTAGACAAAACCGGTTTTGTCTAGTTAATTTACTGCTGTACATGTTTTGACTTTAGATAAAACTAGTTTTAACTTTTAACATTAGTTAAAACTAATTTTAGCTACATAAATATGTTTGGGGGAAATAAAGTTATGTATAGTGATTCGGCGGAAGATGCCTAACATTTTGCTTATGAAGAAAATTACAGCGCTAATTTGAGTTTAGGAGCCCTCTAATGAAAATATCATATTCTGGAGTATGTCTTTCAAATAAAAGTTTGGAGTTTATTTTAAAAAATTCTATACTGTGTTTGCAATGACGACTTTTTCACTGTCTGGCATTTTAAGCATCTCACCCCAAGTATCTGGGTGAGATGCCAAATGCCATTAGGGTAAGATAACAAATATAATTGCTTAAAATTAATTTTTGAATTTCTTAACCAAATTTAATTTATTGCATATGTAGTACAAAGTACTTCATAGTAAGTATAACAGCACAGTATAAGTATTGTTAAGTTTCCGCCCGTTCTAACGTGTTCTATAGCTAGCTGAAAGCTTTTTTCAGTCCAAAAACTTTTTTGAGAAGTCCTTATATAATTTCTATGCATATCCTGCAATAAAACGAGAAAACAAAAGTTTATTAAAAATAGGCATATTAGAAATCAATTAACAAAAAATAGGCACGTTACCCCAAGAAAAATGTGGCATTTTTTCCATTTGTTGGGGTAAGATGCCTAGTAGAGTTACTTGCTCCAGCATGTCCAATCGGGATCGGCAGTAGCTGACAATGGAAACTTTAGAACCTTAACTACATCACACATTTGTTTTTAGTAGTTTTTAATAAATTCCATTTTTACTTTTAGTTTAAAATTATTCTAGAAACATTTCACAACAAAAACTTCGTTCTTATCTAGCTTTTATTCTTCTCAGATGTAGAAAATGAAGTAAAGATAGCCAACTACAGCTTTCCGCACTCAATATTGGCCCAACGATTCATCATACAAATATATGACAATATGTGACATCACCGTTTGAAAATATCAAAAATTAGGCATCTTACCCCGAATCACTCTATATGTTGCAGTAAAAACCAGTTTTTAGTTAGGATGCATTTTAACTAGTTGAAACTAGTTTGTACTGAATGTCTTTGTTAAAACCCGTTTTGTCTAGTTAAAACTAGAATTTACTGCTAGTCAAAAAGGGCGTTGGCCTTTCACTCTTAAGGGCGTTGGCCTTTGAGAGCAACTGAGTGGAGTCTTGTCACTTTCAGAACTGACAAGACTCCACTCAGTTCTGAACTCCCGACGAACTCCCCGAATTCAGCTGAACTTCGCCGATATCTTCCCATTTACGACCAATCATTGTATTCGGATTTTCCCATGTGGACGGATGGGAAGGAGTAGAAATGAGGGGTAAACAGTTCCCATCAAAGCGAGATTTTTAGCGGATAAGGGAAAAACAGAGGATGCTCATACTTCCATCAAAGGAAGTGACTCTCCTAGCTGTTTTCCCACGCTAGAAAAACTTTATTTTTCCATCAAAATGAAAGAATATTTTTAAGGAAAGATTTTACTTTCTGTTTAAATTATTATTTTAGACCTGGGGGCTATTCGGATCTCACAATAATGATGTTTTGCTTTTCTTAATAAATCAGAGATAGAGTTTACTAGTGGCTCAATATAACATGCTTCAATAGAACACAGATGGTTTATGGATAGATAGATAGATATGTACATACATACAAGAAAGACATTGGCCGTACATGAAGTATTTAGCCGGCAGAAAAGAGGGAAAGGGGAGGGGTAGAAGGAGGGAGAGGAGATGGACGGTAGAGAAAGGTAGTATCCCTCTGAACAGCATACATAAGGCTACAGTACCCTCTATTTGGTATTGCATGCAGCTTTTAGGCTGCAAGGCCGTAAAGGGTCTAAAAGAAAACCTAAGTGTAGCAAACACCAATAATTGAGTGCTGCCACGAATAGCTAAGTGTAGAAGTTAGTAGGAAGACTTATATCTACTTAATAGTAATAAAACTGAACATGATTGTGAATCTTAAAACTACTTAACAGTTAGACAGACAATGCAAACAAACACAATGACAAACTAGACAAGATGAACAGACCAACAAAGACAAATGTCCAAGACTCCAAAAAAAATTATTTATTTATTTATCATTAATTTTTTTTTATATTTATTTATATATTTTGTTAAACATTAACTAACTAACTAAACTAACCTACCATAACCAGGATGAACCTAACCAGATGACTAAAGCTAATCTAATTTAACCTAACCAGAAACCAAGTTAAGAGTCCCTAATCTAGCTTACAACTAGGACTAACTGATGGTCTATGGATACCAATTTATTGTTCAGTCTGTTCAGATCCTAGAGTTTTCATTCCATCTTATTGTAGACTACTATGCTAAATTGGCAATTAACAGTACAGTTCAAAATTTGAAATATTTTTCCTATTATATCTATATGTTGTACTTCACATTGTAAACACAGCTTAATCCTTAGATTTCTTGGTTCAGCAAAAGCTGGAACAAGTAGACAGTAGGGAGTGTTTGAGAAGTGTGAATTATAAATTGATACAATGCAGTAACTGTTTATCAGTTTGCTGCCATGTAGCAGGGGTTGTTCATATAAATGGCAGAAAGGGTTCCTCCTTACAGTGCTGTTGAGTTCTTTGAATCACAAAATCACATTATATTGAGTCACTAATATATAATTTTACTTAGTTTCAAAGAAAATAAGATGGTAATAATAATACTAATGAGGAGCTCAATCATAAAATCCAAACAATACTCACTAAGCCCTAAGTATAGACTACACTACCCAGGTTGTTCTAACAAAAGGCTTATCTTCCTTGGAGGGTGGTAGTAGAATCGTAATGTCAATAATGTCTTATTGACATTAAGATTCTCCATCAGAAGCAGATAGACTCATTACAAAGTTTCTTCCATACTTAATAACAGTCATTGTCACTACACTATATAATTGTCCAGACTGTTGATAACTATACTTTTTATTAAACCTAAGGGACACCAAAGTACAAAGAACAAAATGATTCTGTGAACACAAACAGCAAGGCCTGGATGGAAAAAACATTACATGGTAGACACCCAAAGGATCTTGTACAGCTACAAGTTGATAAGACAGCATCAAACCACTGGCTGAAAGATGGGAATCGCTTTGGGAAAACAGGGCTTTATAATTGCAATACAGGACCAAGTTATCTGTACAATGGCCTATAAAAAATACATAATCTAAGATATTATGGATGACATATGAGGAAATGTCATGCTGCACAAGAAACTATACAACATATCACAGGCTGCTGTAAAAGCTTGGCGCAAACAGATTATTCATACAGACATAACAGATAGCTAAAATAATTCACTAGTATATAGCAAACAAATATTTATACAGGAAATCCTCATTAGTTAGAAATTCAAGGGACAAAATAATTGCAACTTTGAATTATTTGATATACACATATTTCTGTACAATATGCCAAATGTCATGTAACTGATGTAATTTCTTAAGCAAACAAAATAAGCTACATGTACAGAATGCTATTTTCAATAATTAACAATAATAATAATAAACAGCAGTTAAACAGCATGTGTCCAGTGAGAATGTCACAGGTTGTCAGATAGGTTTTATAAAAAGTAAAGTAGAATTCCTGGAAATGTAGCCCAAATTATTTTTCAAGTGGCCCAAAAAGTAGTAAGTTGCTTGAATGTACTATCCTAGAGCCTACAAATGTCTCAATCTGCTACTTGTAGCCCAATCTTGCAGTCCCAAACCCGGCCATATTTTATGAGATAAGAGAAAAAAGGATAGTCCATGGATAAGATGTCACCTGAAAATATGTTACTCTAAATGCAAAGCCATATTGACCCAATAAGAGAACAATAGATCAAGAACAATTCTAAATGAATTGTTCTTGATCTATTGTTCTCTTATTCTATGGAGGCACTTTGATCTAAACTAATGAGTTAACTTATGTATATCACAGTTTGGACAGAATTTTCACTTTGAATTTTGAAAGTAGCTATATTTCAAACTAACTGAAGTCCTTAACATGTAAATCTCTATATCCCTGGCTGGAACAAAAGTACAGTTATGAACTAATGGGTTTTTGAACTATCTGAGTTCAAATTAACAAGGATTTCCTGTATTAAATACAGTAATACCTCGACTTATGCAAACCTGGAGTTACGTGATTTTCAAATCTCGTCGATTTGTCTTTTGTTTGAGCACCACACAACTCTTAATTACTCACTCCCCCCACACTATCGTTCAGCTTACATGTTCGGATGTGCCGCGCGGAATCGATGCATAGCTACAATTTATTTTGTGTTATTTATTTCTGTATTTGTTATATCTACGGAGACTTGAGAGACTCTATGTGGTGATTTCTTGTAACCGTGAACGAATCAAAAGATGAGATAAGATTAACGAGAACATTTATTAGCTTACATACATCCGACTTGGATTTTACACAAATTGCGAAATTATACCCCAACTTACACTGTTATCGCTCGGTCCCACATATTGCATAAGTGTGGGTATTACTGTATAAGTATATTTCACAAACTATTCTTGAGAATACAACACAAACTATATTTTGACAGATTGATGATAACAGATAAAACAATCCATCACAATAGACCAGATATTGTTCTCATTCACAAAGTGCACAAAACTACAGGTGTAGGACAAAATAATAGGAACACCCTTTTCGAAATGTGTTATACTTTGACTGTCCAATACAGCCCCACCATGTGTTGCAACAGTCTGCCATCCAGTGGTGGTGAAAGGGAAGGTATC